CTCTACGTTTGGGTCTTCGAGGGTAAGTTCAGTGTACTTGGTGTCCCATAGATTTTAGAGTGAGCTAGATATAAGTCGACACTCGCCTATGGAATTTTTATTTGTTAGGCGGTGCATTTTGTCTCCGCCGCTCGCCGTGCAGCAGTATGGCTCTGCACGCGGGGGGCGGAGGCGCCGGCATCTCCGTGACGAGCTTCAGCTCCTGCAGCAAGTCGTGCACCGGCCGGAGCGGCACCGGGAAGTCGGTGAAGGCGTCCCCCTCGCCGCGGACGCTCGGCAGCAGCATGTCGGCCAGCGTGGGCTCGCGCCCCGCCGCGAGGTGCGCGTACGCCTTTCGCCTCTCCTCGCCCTGGACAGGGATGCACCTCGGTAGGTTGGGGGGGGAAGGGTGCAGGGTTGAGGCGGCGGGGGCTCGGCTCTCTCCTTGATGGTGATGCGCTCGAGCTTCCCGCGCTGCGAAAAGTAGACCGACTGCAGCAGCAGCGCCGAGGCGTCGGGCGACTCGTACAAGTCCGAGCCTGCGAGCTCGGGCGGCACCGCCTTGAAGTAGTCGCTGTCCCCCACCCGGTACGCCTCGTTGGCCTCCTGCAGGCACAAGCAGAGGGGGGGAGGCGCTCCTCTCAGCACTGCGCTCCTCTCTGCACTGCGCTCCTCTCTGCACTGCGCTCCTCTCAGCACTGCGCTCCTCTCAGCACTGCACTCCTCTCAGCACTGCGCTCCTCTCAGCACTGCGCTCCTCTCAGCACTGCGCTCCTCTCTGCACTGCGCTCCTCTCTGCACTGCGCTCCTCTCAGCACTGCGCTCCTCTCAGCACTGCGCTCCTCTCAGCACTGCGCTCCTCTCAGCACTGCGCTCCTCTCGGCACTGCGCTCCTCTCTGCACTGCGCTCCTCTCTGCACTGCGCTCCTCTCTGCACTGCGCTCCTCTCAGCACTGCGCTCCTCTCAGCACTGCGCTCCTCTCTGCACTGCGCTCCTCTCTGCACTGCGCTCCTCTCGGCACTGCGCTCCTCTCTGCACTGCGCTCCTCTCGGCACTGCGCTCCTCTCGGCACTGCGCTCCTCTCAGCACTGCGCTCCTCTCAGCACTGCGCTCCTCTCAGCACTGCGCTCCTCTCAGCACTGCGCTCCTCTCAGCACTGCGCTCCTCTCAGCACTGCGCTCCTCTCTGCACTGCGCTCCTCTCTTTACTGCGCTCCTCTCTGCACTGCGCTCCTCTCGGCACTGCGCTCCTCTCGGCACTGCGCTCCTCTCGGCACTGCGCTCCCCTCAGCACTGCGCTGCGCGCGCGTCTCACAAGGCCCGCGCGTCTGGCGGACCTGCGCCGAGCGCGCTCCCACGCCCATCGTCCAGTCGGCTGCCCAAGGCGCGAGCACCACCAGCCAGCCCGCAGCCTCGCACGCCGCAGCCGCATAGTTGAGCGCCCACGACTTGCCGTGCCCCCTCTCGCCGACCAGCACGAGGCCGGACGAGTCGCGCAGGCTGTGCTGCGCGTCGGCGGGGCGCGCGGCGCGCCAGAGCAGCTCGTCGCGCAGCTCGAGGACTTCGGGCCGCACCAGCGCCGCCGCCGTCTTGGCCGCCTGCTCCTGCCGTCCCTTGCCGCACAAGCCGGTGTGGAAGAAGAGGCTGGCAAAGGCGGAGCTGCGCTCGAGCGAGAAGATCTTCCCGGCGTCGGCGGCCGTGTGCGAGAGCGGCTCGTCGCTCGAAGCCATGAGCCCGCGCAGGTCCGCCTCCACCCCACCCTTCGGCGGCTGCAGCGCCCGATACTGGAGCTCACGCTCCGTCAGCAGAACACTGCCCTCCTCCTGCAGCGCCGCCTTCCCCTTGAGGTCTTGCGGCGCGGCGACGTCCGTCACGCGCGCTGACTGCAGGACCGGCCGCGGGGAGGCGGTCGAGAGGCGCCTGGCTGTCGCCCGAGCCCACGACGCAGCGTTCACCTGGCACACACTTGCGCGCGGTCGTCGGAGTGTATGCTCAGGCAAGTGGGGGGAGAGTGTGCTCCGCTGCGTACCTCAACGTTGGGGAGGGCGTCGCCGCGTGCGTGTCTCCACGGAACGTGCGCTGAGCGCAACATGCCGCGAGACGTGCGTGCCAGCATACGGGTCGGTGACGCCGCCGGACCTGCGGCTCGTCGCGTGGCGGGTGAGCAGAGCGTGCGTTGTGGTCCCGGGTTGTGCGTTTTTGTGTGAGCAGGACCCGGGTTGTGCTTCGGTGTGGTGGGCACCTTCGCCGAGCGAGCAGGCTCCTGCGACAAGAAAAGAATTCTTTTTCCTTGGGTTGTCTGTGACGAGAGTGGGAGATAAACTGCGGAGAGAGATAGGAAGTGGTAGACGCCCGAGGGTGGGCGACGGCTAACACCACACTTCTCCCCTAAAATCCCTGTGTGGTGGCGGCGTACCGTCCTCCCATCCCTCCCTTGGGTTGCCTGTTTTCTTTCTTTCTTTTACGAGAGTGGGACGGCCGCGAGGTGGCATGAAGGTTGCAGCGAGAATCGGCGAGAGACTGCGAAAAGAGATAGGAAGAGGCAGACTCCCTAGGGTGGGCGACGGCTAGCGCATCACACTCCTCTCCTTAAAATCCCTGTGTGGTGGCGGCGTGCCGTCCTCCCATCCCTCCCTTGGGTTGTCTGTTTTCTTTCTTTCTTTCTTTCTTTGGGTTGTCTGTTTTCTTTCTTTCTTTCTTTCTTCTCGTTTGGGTTTGTTTTGTTTCTTTTGTATCCTCCCATCCCTCCCTTGGAGATACTGTTTTCTTTCTTTATTCCCAACCAAATTTAAATTGTAAGGAGGCTCCAGCGCCGTCTCCACCAGAGATGCCACCACGTATCCCTCCACAGAGATGCCACCACCCACCCCTCCACCTCCCACGCCGCCGCCACCTGCACCTGTACCTCCTCTCTGTGATGTCGCTGCCATCTGTGATGCTCCCATCCATGCATGTATTGGGACCCTGCCACTTGCTCGTGCAAGAGCCAAGACCCCGCCACCGGCACTTCTCGGGGGGGGCCGCCGCAGTTCCAACGCAGTTCCAACGGCCGCGTCCCGATGAGCCGGCCATCGCCGCCGGCCGGCCAGCCGACGAGTGAACCACGACCGTACTTAACCCACGGCTCGCGCGCATCCAAGCGAAGAAGAATTTTACAAAGAAGAAGAAATCTCTGTCGCATCCACACGACGCACGAGTGCGCTGAAGGGAGGGGGAGTTTCAGGGGAGTTTGAGAGAGAGAGATTTAGCAATACCGAACAACTCTAACACTCACACATCATTTGGAGTTTGTGTGGAAGGGATGGCCGGGGAGGGGGTGGCCACGTGGCCAGAGGGGATGGCCAGAGAGGATGGCAAGAGGGGTGGGGTACATGCACTCGAGTAGAGCGGAGTGCCTGAGTCCAGCCGAGTGCGTCCGTCGGGGGGAGGAAATGACCAGCGCATGAGAGCAGGTATGTATGTAGGAAGGTGAAGAACACTCAGGTAGGTAGGTAGGTAGAAAGGTGAAGAACAGCCAGGCTCGGACTGGACACCAACGCGGTATGGGTGGACGCGGGACAGATGATGACGACACGTCAGGCTCGGACATGATCCAAGAAAGAAACACAGCGGGCGATGGAGGCTCTTGCAATCGAGTGCGTCGACGCGAGCGAGCCGAGGCTCTCGGAGGCCGTCGCCGAGGCTGGCCGCATCATCACCGCCTCTGCGGGCGGCACGAAGCTGAGCGCGGTCCTGCAGGCCCTCGGGCCGAGCCTGACCTCCACCGACCACACGCTGCGTGCGCGCGCCACACGAGCGGTGGCACGCATCGTCGGCGCGACCGACGCTGGCGTGCTCGACGCCGACGCGCTCGGCCACCTCGTCGACTTCCTCTGCGCTCGGATGCACGACTATGCGTGCGCGAGCGCCGTGTTTAGTGCGGCGTCGGCGGTGCTGCCGCTGCTCTCCGTCGCTCCGGGCCGCCGCGCGCAGATCGCCACCGCCCTGCTCGAGGAGTGCGATATTCGGTCGCTGCCGCAGGCCGACCGCGCCGCCGCCCTCGGCCTCGGCCTCGGCCTCGCCAGCCCACCGTGGCTTGGCGGAGGCGGCGAGGGCGGCAGCGGCGAGGGCGGTGGCGAGGGCGGCGGCGAGGGCGGCGGCGAGGGCGGCGGCGAGGGCGGGGGCGAGGGTGGCGGCAAGGGCGAGGAGGTCGGCTCCATCGGCGGCGTGCCTGCGGTGCGCTTCCTGCTCGGCTGCTTGCGCGCCTTCGACGGCGAGAAGGACCCGCGCAACCTCCTCTCCTTTCTGCAGCTGCTGCGGACCCTCTGCGCGCGGTGCGAGGCGGTGGCGGCCGCCGGCTGGTCCGAGGCGGTGGGCGAGGTGTTCGACTCGCTGAGCTACTACTTCCCCATCTCCTTCACGCCCCCGCCGGGCGACTCGCACGGCATCACGCGGGCCCACCTCCTCACTTCCCTCATCCGCACCCTCCGCGCCTCGCCCCGCTTCGCGCCCCTCGCCCTCCCGTTCCTGGCGCGCAAAGGCTGCGCCGAGACACACGCCCAATAGAAGCCCCCTGAGGCCGCCCCTTGCTTGTCGGCGCGGCGCAGTTCGAGCACCTCTCCGCCCCGCCCCTCACCGACGCCGCGGACGAGGAGGACGACGCCGACGGGGCGATGCAGGCGCTGCAGGCCCTCTCCCTGCTCGCCGCCGAGTACGGCGCCCCGCAGCTGCTCCACCACGCGCAGCCGCTCGGCGCCTCCCTCCGCGCGCAGCTCGCCGTGCTCGCAGCCTCCTCGACCGGTCGCTCCGGCGTCGCCGCCGCCTCGGCCGCCGAGCGGAGCGCGCGCCTTGCGGCGCTCAGCGCCGCAGTGCGCGCGATGGCGGCCGTCTGCGCCGCTCCGGCGACCGAAGCCGCCGCCGCCGCCGCCGCCGCCGCCGCCGCCGCCCGTCCGCCGCTGCTCGAGCTCGCCTTGTCGCCGCTGGTGGAGCTCTGCGTCTCGCCGCCGCCGGCCGGCCCGTCCGCCTCCGACGCCTCCGAGCTCCTCTGCGCCGCGGCGGCCGGCTCTGCGGCGGCGGGTGCGCTGTGCCTGCGGCTCTGCCTGCCCCCGCTGCTGGCCGTCGCCACGGCGGAGGAGGAGGCGGGTGCGGCGGCGGGCGGCGGAGGGGGTGGGCGGCGGCGCACAGCCCAGGCCGACGCTCTGAGCGTGCTGCTTGCGCTCCTCCGGTCGGCTGGCAGACCGGGCGGGCAGGCAGACGCCGCGGCGGCCGAGGCGGCCGCTCACGCCGCTTCCCTGGTCGAGGGAGCGAGTCGGCTGCTGGGGCGGGAGGCGGCGACGTGGCGCGAGGCGCGAACCGCCGACGGCGACGGTGACGCCCGCCCCCCCCTCGGCCCCGCAGCGGCGGAGCTGCTCTGCCTCGGCCTCGGCCTGGCGGCGGGCCGGCTCGAGCCGAGCCTCGAGCCGAGCCCAGCTGCTGGCCCCGTCCGCCTCCTCGCCACTGCGATCGTCGACGCGGCGCACGCGGCCAGCCCGGCCGGCCCGCAGCTCGCCGCCCCCGACGGCGCGCGCGCGCCTCCCTCTGCCGCCGCGGCGGTCGCCAGCGCGGTGGCGCAGCTGTGCGCCGCCTCGCGAGCCGCTCCCCAAGGCAGCTCCTCCGAGCGGTTGCTCGCAGCGGTGAGGGGCGAGCTCCTCGCGCCGCTGCTCGACGCGTTGCACGCCGCGAGCACGGCTGGCTTGGAGGGCGGCGCCTCCTCGTCGCCGCTGGCGCCGCGCCGCTCGTGTCGGGTGGCGACCAGTCCCCTCTCGCTCACGCGCACCCTGCACCGCGCTCGATAGGTCTGCTCGCACCTCGCCGCCGCCGTCGCACCGCTGCTCGAGGAGGTATGGCCGAGATGCAGCCGAGATGCAGCCGAGTTGCCGCCAAGATGCAGTCGAGATGCGGCCCAAATGCGGCCAAAATCCAACTTTTTCCGCCGCCATTTTTTTAAAGCCGCTCCAGGGCCCGGGAACCCCTTGGGGGGAGGCCCCCCCCCCCCCCCCCCCCCACCCACCGGCCGCGCTTCGCTCCTAACAACGACGCCCCTTTCACAGGACCCGACGTGGACTGCCGCCGCCACTGCGCTCGCCTCCGTCGCTGAGCGGCGCATCGAGCTCGGGCGTGTAGCGAGCCAACCGGACGCCGCCCTCGCCGCTTGCTTCGCGGGCCTCGCCGCCGCCGCAGCCGCGCCTGGCACTCCGGCGCGCGAGGTCGCTTTCAGCTGCGCCTCGAGGCTGCGCGCCGCTTGGACCGCCGCCGCCACCGCCGCCGCTCTCGAGTCGGTTCCCGCTGCTCCCGCTGGCGCGCGACCGCCTCCCTCGGCCGCGCAGGCGCGCAAGGCATCCGGCGCCTCCTCCTCCTCTCTCTCTGCCCTCCCGACCCCGCGTCTCCCTCCCAAAGGCGAGGCTGGAGGCGCTGCTCGAGGCGAGCCGCCCGCTGTGCGTCGCGCTGTGCCGAGCCGACGGCGGCTGGCTGAGGGAGGTACTCGCTTGGCTGCTCCCTGCCCCGGCGGCCGCAGGCGAGCCGCAGGACGGCGCGGCGCGGGCTTTGCTGGCGCCGCTGCTCGAGCTGGCTCTCGCCCACACGCACGCACGCACCCCGCTGCCCGAGGGGACGGTTGGCCTGCTCTTCGCGGCGTGCGACGGCGACGGGGCGGCCGGTGTGCCCGCCCCGCTACTGCCTGCGCTCTGCGTCGCGTCGAACAAGTGGGCGAAGGACGAGGAGCTCGCGGCGCTCATCGACCGCGATCAGGCGATCCTCGACGCGGCGCTCGACGGCGGCGGCGGCGCTGCCGAGGCGCTCTCCAAGCTTCACCGCTGGGTCTGGCTGTCAAAGGTGAGGGCCTGGCGCGCCTCCGCGGTGTAGAGCGGCACCGCTGCAGGAGTGCCGCTCCTCCTCGCGCGTAGGCGGCCGTCTGTCGGGGGCAGGCCTTCGTCGCGCGGCAGCCGGCGGCGCTCGTCGGACTGATCGAGCGGGCTGCCGAGCTCGCGGACCGATCGACCAGCCCCGCGGTGGCGATCGCCGCCGCCCGGTGGGTCGACACGGCGTGTGGCGGGCTCCGGATGCTCGTGCAGCCCCCCGGGGCGCTGCTCCTTCGCGAGACGGGCGCGAGCTGCTCGCCGCTTCTCTCGCAGCGGCTGTCCGCCGCGCTCTTGCCGCGGCTCGCGCCGTCTTCAGCCGGAGATCGGCCGGCGGGGGCGCCGGGTTCTGCTGCGGCGAGCTTGTGGCGTGTCCACGCAACTGTGATGGTGCTCCTCGGCCTCCCAGCCGCCGCGCTGCCTCCGCTCCTCCGCCTCGCGCCCACCGCCAGCCTCTGGCTGAGGCACGTCCTCCAGCATTGCTGCGACGGCGGCGATGGCGGCGGCAACTCCGTCCCAAGAGCGCTGCTCGGGGGCGACGCCGCCGCAGAGAGAGTGGAGCAAGCTTTGGCGGTGATGCTGGCTTTTGCGGGGAAGCTGCCCGAAGCCAACAACCGCGACGGCGCCCAGGCCGAGGCGGCTCTTGCCGAGGCGATCCCGGCGGCGCTCCGCTTTGCCGGTCGTGCCACACAGCTGCTTCCGCCCGGCCCGGCGAGCCGCCTCACCGAGCGGGCCTTGCAGCTGCTCGACTCGGCCGCTTCCACGCTGCCTCCGCCAACCCTCTACCCGCTCAAGAAGCGGGTTCTGCGCGACCTGCAGGACCTGCTCGATCACCGCAAGAGGGTGGTTCGGTCGGCTGCGTCGCGATGCTCCAACCGGTGGCACGCCGTGAAGGGCTGACGAGAGGACCCGGCCGCTGCGCCTAGCGAGAGGCTGCTGACTGGTGCTGGCAGTCGGTTGCGAGTGGCACCCCCTGTCCGCTGACGGCGCAAAACACGTGCCAGTGAGAGGGTGTTGAGCGTGTTACTTTTACGTGGAGTCCCCCCCCCCCCCCCCCGTTTCGCTTTTTATTACGCTCTTGGAGAGCCTCGTCCCTCGAGGTGTGTATGTATGTAAATATAGCGAGTCAGAACGCAGATCGTGTCGCGCAGGGCGGTGTGTTCGCAGGTGGGTCGGCTCGCCCTGTCGCCCTCCACCCCCCCCCCTCCTCCCCGACTGCACTCACTTCCTATATAATACCTTTCACACAATACAAGCGTTTGGCCACCACGGCATGATCTCAGGTCTCATTGCGCATTCGCCGATGGCGTTTTGACCCCGAGAGCCATTTGCGCCGCCCTCGCCGCGCCGCCCACACCAGAGAGAAGCGAGCCCAGCTGCGCGGCGGCCTGTGCGCCGCCCAAGCCGCTCGCCAATGAGGCTGCGTTCAGCCGCTCGCCAAGAGCGCCACGGATTTGGTCCAGCCCGCTCCTCCCCCCTCCAAGAGCGCTGTCGGTCCCTGCGACGGGCAGGTCGGCGCCCGCGGCTGCCACCGCCGCCTCGTCGAGGCCGAGGGCGTTGACAGCGCCCGCGCCGCTGCCCGCCGTGTGCCTGGCTGCCGCTTCGAAGCGCGGCGCCCGCAGCGGCGGCGTCTGGACCGGGAGGTAGCCGAAGCGGCCGCAGGGCGGCGCTCGGCGAAGGAGGGAGCCGCCTGAGCCGGCCTGCGGCGCTGGCGGCATCTGCGCTGCCGCAGTGCCGTCGGCGCATGCGAGCAGAGCGACGCGGGAGAGCGCTGCAGCAGCGGCGCGCCGCACGGGCTTGCGGCAGAGGGCCCACGCGATCGGCTCGTGGTGCTGCAGCCACGCAGCGACGCCCTCCTCCGCCGCACGCAGGCACGCGTCGTCACCACCCGCCTGCGGGAGGGAGGGGGGCACAGAACCTCAGACCTTGTGTGTGGTGCGAGGACAGCTGCGCCGTCGTCCGCCGCCGCCTTGTCGCGCGGTAGGGGAGGCTCCCGCGCCGCCGCGCCGAGCTTGGCGGCGGCGGCGGTGAGCGTCGCCCTCGCCGCCTTGTCAAACTCGTGCCGCTGCGCCGAGACCCGCGCATCCGCCGGCGGCAGCGGCTGCGGGCGGCTGCGGAGGGCTGCGCGGCAGAGCGTCACGTCGAAGTAGAGCTGCAGCGCCTGCCTCTGCCGCGCCTCAGCCGTCTCGCCGCTGTCGTCGTCGCCAGCAAGCCGCTCGAGCTGCGACCGGAAGGCGGCGGCGAGGCAGCCCGCCGCAGCCTCCGCCTCGGCCTCCAGCAGCCGCGGCTGCAGGGCGGAGCTTCCGGTGGCACGCACGGCGCAATGCCGCCGCCATAGCCAATCGCTCAGTTCGGCCGACGCCTCCGCGGGCAGAGTGAGCCGCGGCTCGGTCAGCGCTCCCTCGGCGGCGGCAGGGCTCGAGTGCGCCGCCTCGACGGCGCGCCAGTACACGCCCGACGCCTCCTCTGCGCGCGGCGGCAGCGCGCCGCGCGTCGCGACGGCGAGGCGCGCCCACTCGGCGTGCGCGGTGCCCTCGAGCGAAGCGAAGGCGGCGACGAGTGGCTGCAGCTCGGCCGCGGCGCACGACTCGACCTGGCAAAAGGCCAAAGGCCAGCGCGGCAGCTGGGCGGCAAGCGCGCCGCACAGCCGCGCCGAGAGCACCAGCGAGCTCATCGCGGCCGCCTCGCCGCTGTCCCGTGCCGCCGCGCCGCCCCGCGCCGCCTCCGCCTTTGCCGCCCTCGCCGAGGCGACCGCAACGGCAGACTCGAGCGTGGCGAGGAGCGGGACCGCCCACCACGCGCTCACCTCGACTGCGAGGGCCGTCTCCGCCGGGTCGCGTCCGCTGCGCCCGCCATGCCCGCCGCTCCCGTCTGGCGCACCGCCGGGGGCGGGCGTGCCAGCCGGCGCCGCGAGAGGCGGCCGCGAGAGGCGGTGGAGGGTGGTGCGCAGCCAGCAGGCGGCGTGCGCCGAAGCAGCCGCCGTCTGCACGACCGCGACGAGCGGCGGCGGGAGCTGCACCCACTCCCCTCCCCCTTGGCGCGACGAGTCCGCCTCAGCCCCCGCGCCCGCGACCCAATCGCACCCGTCCTCGGCGCGAAAATCGGCGCCGCAGACGCCCTCGCCCACTCTGTCGGCGGCGGCGGCGGCGGCGGCGGCGGCGCGCACCAGCGCCGCCTTGATCATTCGCACGGCGGGCTGCGCGGCGGCGGCGGTCCGCAGCTCGGCCGCGAGCGCCCGCTCGAGGTGCGTCGAGAAGGCGAGCGCGCACGGCTCGCCCGGCGTGAGGAGCGAGAGCAGCCGGCACAAGCGAGGCCCGCCGCCTGTCCGCGCCTCGGCGGGGGAGCGCGCCTAGAAGGTTCCTAGAAGGTTCCTAGAAAGTTCCTAGAAGGTTCCTAGAAGGCCTCGGGGGAGCGCGCCCCGCTCGCCGCCGCGCGCGGGGAGGGAGCGGCGTCCGCCGAGTCGAGCTGGAGCAACGCACGCGCCGCACCATCGACTGCGGCCGCCACGAGCTTCCACCCGTCCGCCGCAGCTCGCTCGAGCGCCTCTGCCGCCGCCGCCGTCGAAGACGCGCCTAATCGCGCCGAGAGATGCCGAATGCTCAGACATCGCCGCCAAAGCCAGACCGGCTCGCGCGGCGGCGAACGCGGTGCCGCTGCTGGCGGCGCTGCTGGCGGCACTGCCGGCAGTGCCCGGCTCCGCCTCCACGGCGAGGGGGAGGCAGAGGGCGCGGAGCAGCGCGTGCGGCCGCGCCGACTCGAGGACGTCGCAAAGAGAGCGCAGCGCGCCCGCGAGCGCCTCGGCGCCGCCCGGCGCCTCGGCCGCCCCGCCGCCGCCGCGCCGCCCTCCTAGCTCCGCCTCGCCCGTCGCGGCCTCGCCCGCCGCCGCCTCGCCCGCCGCGGCGCACTCGCGCGCCGCCTCAGCGCGCGAGTCGAAGAAGAGCCGGACCAGTGCCGCGGCGGGAGGGCCGGCGGGCGGGCCGGCGGGCGGGCGGGCGTCGGCGGGCGCGGAGGTGGCACCGCTGCCTCCGCCGACAGCGTGGATGGCGGCAAGCAGCGTGGCGGCCCTGCGGCGGGCGAGAGGCGCGCGGCGATCGGGGCCGAGGTGGCGGCGGCGGGGGGACTATGGCGGAGGCGGGCGGTGGCGGGAGGGGGTGTCGGGCGCAGTCCAACATGCGGCGGGCCTGCTCGGCGTAAGGCGCGGCGCGCGGAGCCGGGTGACGCAGCTGGCGACGAGGCGCTCGCGGGTCGCGTCGAGCGATGGGCGGGCGCTCCCGGCGACGGGGAAGGCGTCGGCCAGCTGGGCCGGCCCGCCGCCCGCCGGAAGAGCGTCGCGGCGGGGCGACTCCGAGGCAGCCGCGCCGCCGCCGGCGAGGCGGTCCGCGGCGGCGCGCGCCTCGAGGAAGCGACGTGCGGCCCTGGCCTCGTGACCGCGCGAGAGGGCCGCCAGTATCTCCTCCTCCGACGACACCTACGCGCGTGGACCCGCCGGCCGGTGCGCAGGTGCGGCGCAGGCCCGATCGGGAGCCGCACAGCCCGCATGCTCGCACCAGCCAGTGCACCCGCATGCCCGCGCGCAGCAGCGGCGGCAGCGGCTCGGCGGCCGTCTCGGACCGCGCCCACGCCGCCCACTCGCCGTCCGCGAAGGTCGACAGCCGCTCGGAGAGCTGCCTCTGCTCCTGCAGCGCGCCCGCCCACTCTGACCGGTGCGACTCGACGATCGCCTCCAAGTCTCGCGCCCGGCCGACGACGTCGCGGTAGTTGGTGGCGGCAGCGCTCGTCGTCATGGCGACCAGTCAGGGCCGGGGAGGCGCGTCGAGGTGCCACACGCACATGCGTGTCGGCGCAAAGTGCTGCGAGATGGGTATCCGCGCACAGGGCAGGTGTAGTTTATTTTTGCTTGGGGCGGGTATCATGATGAAATTCTGCAAAAACCTGCCCTGCCCCTGCCCTGCCCCTACCTACCTACCTACCTACCTACCTTACTTATGGGAAACTAAAAAAGAAATCACCGGGCGGGTGAAGGTGGTATATACACCAACTAAAGTGATGGCTGATGGTACTCTCCTGCAACCACAGTCCTTCCTGTGACATGGCAGGCCACTCTCAAGCCCTACAAGCACCTCAGATCAACGACTTGGGGAGGGTTGACATCGTGATTTGCGCGGAAAATTTCTTTTTCTGCTGTGAAAATTCCGGCGTGAGAGAGGGAAAAACCCGACGGGAGGGCCCAGACCCTGCCCTACCTACCCCGTCATGATACCCGCCCCAAGCAAAAATAAACTACACCTGCACAGGGGTACGCTTCGAGGACCCATTTGCTCTTTCGAGGTCTCGCCGGGGCTCTGCTCCAAGAGCGACCTCGAGAGAGCGTGCGTGTGCCTCTACTCGCCAGGGCGGGCGGACGTTCTTATACGACAAGCGAACATGTGCAAACAAACGACGAACCACTAGCTCTCGCCCAACAGCCCTACAGCGCTGCCTCCTGGCCCAGCTCACGACCTCCCGAGAAGCCGTACTCCGCTGGCGGCTCCGCCGCGACAAGGACGTGCGCCCACAGGTTGGTCTCCATGATGCCGCATTCTTCGCAGAGCACGGGTACCAGCATCTTCTCAAACCAATCGCTCGCGAGCAGCGTGCGGCGTGCTACGCCGCCTGTGTGCTTCTTCAGGCTGCAGTCGTCGAGCGTCGCACCGAAGATCAGCCCTTGGCCGTCGCCAGGCTGGGTCCCCATCCACTCTTCGAGGTCCTTGGTGGTGAGGTGCAGCATCGGCTCCATCCACCGCGTGCCGTGCTGGTCCTCCACGAGCGCGTGACAGGCGACGCGGCGCACGAGGCCTGGCTGCGTGATGCACTGCGACATCGGGTGCATCGGCACAAAGTCGCCGCACTCGCCGAACCGGGGCTCGTATGCGTCGCCGACGAGGTACCAGCACGGCGTGTCCACTGGCATCAGCTGCACGATCTTCTTGGTCGGGGGCGGGACGGGCGGCTTGGGCTCGAGGTAGTACTTGGGCAGCACGCCCGAGGCCAATGCGTCGCCGACGGTGCCGTAGACGGCATCGAATCGGTCCGAGCCGTAGCTCTCGTCCTTGCTGTTGAACTTCGCATCGATCTCTGCGATGTGTTCTTTAAGCCGCTGCTCACCTGCGCTCACTCTGACCGCTCGGTCCGCAAAGGACTCGCCATCGAGCCGCCCCACTGTGGTGAATTCGCTACGGGCTTTGTAGTCCTGGCGCGCTTCTCGAGCGTTGAAGTACGCTCGCGCCTTGACGTGCGACAGCAGCGGCTCGTATCCAAAGAAGTCGGCCTCTGCGAGCAGCGAGGCCAGCAGGCCAGGCTCGTGTGGCACAAGTCCGGCGACGTGCGGGTACTGCCGCATCAGGCGGAGCAGGAGGGCGAACGTCTCGGGGTCGCGGTCGAGGAAAATCTGCGCAGAGTGCTCCGCGTCCGAGTCCCACGCGGACAGGTCCACCATGCCCGCCAGGTACGACGAGCGCAGAATGGTGGACACTGTCGTGGAGACCTTGGTGCCGCCGACGTCGATGGTCACGCGCTGGGCGTCCGAGGCATCTCTCGCGCGCTTCATGGCGCGTGTGGGACACACACACTCACACCGCACCGCACCCCGCGGGCCGCGGCCCCCCCGCCCCGCCGTGGAAGGTGCGCCGCGAATTTCTTTTAGAGCGCCTTCGTTGTTTATTATAATACAGACGGATACCCGCACCGCACCGCACCCCGCACCCGCGCGCCCCCCCCGGTGCCGCTGCCACCGCCGCCGCTGCTCCACACAGTGCCCGTGTGTCATGAGAGATATGCTTTGTGTATGGCAGATGGCATCTGAGACGTCGGAGATGGCACCCCCGTGTCGCGTGTATATGATTGTGTGTGGACTTGTCACTTGAGCCTCTACGATTAGTAGACCGTATGTATGTATGTATTTAGGAAGGTGAAGAACAGTCAGGCCGTCTGCGCAGCGCTCTCGGAGAGGCCCACGCCAGGCGCTTTTTGGCCGCAGCGCGCCGTCCCTTCACCATGCCCTTGGCAATGTAGTACAGCGTGGTCACCTCCTCGGTGTCGCCAAAGTCGCAGCTCTCGAATACAGCTCGCACATACTCCTCGCGCAACTCCTCGGGCGAGTAGTAGCGCGCGCGCGAACACTTGCGCGCCATGGTTGCCATAACCTGCAACATTATGAGGACAATTATGCACCGTCGTCTTCAGCCCGCCGTCGGTCGCGGTCTCGTCTTAGTTCTGGCAGCGTCGGCGCCGACCTGCTCCCGCGCTGGCCACGCATCATGCTGCGCTTCGCGAGCAATCGCGTAACGGGAGGCTCGCTGGCTTTTTGTGGCTTTTTGCACGGCTTTTTTGGATTCTCCCGCCCTCCCACCCCTCTCTTGGATTTTTTCCCCATACCTTTGTGTTGTTGGATGAGAGGTTGGATGGTAAGCGGGGGGGGCCGCCGGAGGCGAGTTATTTATCAACTTTGAGGTATTGTAACTATATGAGGGTGAAATGAATGCATCAGTTCTTTGGGACAGTGCAATCCATTTAATTATTACCTCCAACTCAAAAAAAGTCTGGTGGCAAACGGACAACGGGGTCCCTTACAGACTGTATGGTGGCCTGTAAGGGTAAGGTGCGGGAGGTCCACGTTCGTTGTGTTTGCCTCGTGTTATGGTATTGTTGGTTATTTTGGGCTGTTGCAAGGAGCTCAAGGCTCCTCATGGATTGATTGTTACAGCCCCTTTTGGTGTTCAGAGGGAGGGGTTTGGTTGGTGGCCTTTTGCTCAGGTTCAGCCATATAGCTCTTACCTGTCTTGACACGAGCTCATCGAGCCATGTGGAAGTTCGCCAGCGCAAGCATCGCGAGTAAGGTCTTAGCAAATCATGTGGAAAGTATTCAACAAAAAGAACTCTCACGCAGATGCACATGCACATGCACATGTGTACATGTCATGTTGTGCATGTGCATGTGCATGTCATGTGGGAAAGTAATATGCAACCACTTGTAATGTGCTTGGAAGTTTACAGTGCGCCAGTTCTCTGAGTTGCTTGTCTGCAGCCGCCCGCCTAGTTGCCTTTCATGGCTGCGGCAGCTGGATCCAATGGTCGTATCGTTTTTGTGACGGCCTTTCCAGGTGTCGGCAAAACCACAACTGGGGATTACCTCGCTAGCTACCATGGTTTTCATCACATCGATGGCGATGTTTGCGTGCGTGGAAGCCACGGGCCATCCATTCAGCAGGCTTTTGGGCATTGGCTCAAGGATCAAGCTGCTCCAATAGAACTCTGGCATCCCTGCTACCTGCAGCTCTGCGACACGTGCTTGTCGGCTGCCGCTGAGCACCGAGACATCGTGATCTCTCATGTCATATATCGTCGTGAAGTGCGTGACTTCTTCCGAGAGCGGCTTGGCGAGCATGGTCTTGTCTTCCTCAAGCTTGAATGCGATCTTGACATCATCGTCCAGGGGGTGGAGAAGCGAGCTGAGGCTTACTTGAAGACAAAGGGACAGACTCTCGAGGACTACTGGAATGGACCGCAGCCCGCGTCTGTCGGAGGCGGCGTGTGTTTTCGTGAGAAGTATGGTGAGTACAGCTTTGAGAATTACAAGAAGATGCAGTTGGAGATTTACCTCCAAGGTATGCAGCCGTTTGCCCACGATGAGAGCGACACTATTACAGTGGACGTCACTTCGCGTGACAACAGTTGTTTCGAACGCATCAATGCTGCTCTTGGGCTACCTGCTCGCACAACCGATGTTGACATGGGCATGCTGCAGGAGCTCTCAAGATCTAGATGGTAAACCGAGGTTTTGACACTTGTCATTTTAGCACTTCAGGATTTGTCGCTTGCAATTCTTATCAGCGCAGCAAATTAATACTTGCATGCTTGGACACATCAACCACCAAACAGATGTGTCCGGTCAATCCGAGATTCTGTTCAAAAAATCCGAGCCTAAACGACCGATCTCTTCATTTAGCCGCTCTCATACATGTTTATCATATCCGTCAATCACCTAGTGGGCCATAGTGGGCCACTGCCACCATTCTTTTTCTGCTCATAACAAATTGCCCTGCCCAACATATTTTAGTTACTGGGTCCTAATGGCTATGTGGGAGAAGTTTGGTCTTTGTTTCATGGGGGGATCTGGATATATTCACGGCTAAAGTTGGTGCCGGCACGGCTCCCCTAGCCGGTCTCTCGGGGCAGGCCGGGAAGAGCCTCCAGGCCTTCTGTGGAGCTTAGGTAGGGTCCCCAGCCAGCCTCAGCTGCAAGGCAGTCTCCAGGGGCCATGTAGCATGCCTGACATGACAGTGCAACCCACCCGGACACGGGTAGCGCACCAGAGAGGGCCTGTCCTCGTCGTCGAAGCCGGCGGCGGCGCGTGGCGCGAAGCGGAAGTCATCGGCACCGCCGAATCCGGAGCCTAAGAAGGGGAGGAAGAAGTGAGCGAGGAGTGCAGTCTGTGTTTTGCAAGAATGGTGACACGCGTAGACACAAGTACTAGTACGACCTGAGTACGCTCCAGGCTCCAGCCACACAGCCAGGCCAGTGCTTTGCAATGCCGCACACGCCAAAAGTGAAAACGAGCAGTGCTACGTGCGGAGTGTGGGATTACTCACGACTGGGCGTGTCGCGACCGCCGCCGCGAGGCTCGTGGCGATGGAGGCGCCGGCGCCAGCATGCGCCGCCTCCCTCAACGCCCGAAACTCGGTCACAGCCGGGGGAGCGACAGCGGCAGAGATGCGGGCCGCTGGCGACCTCACACGGCGCCAAGCGCCGTAGAGGTAGCCCCGAGAGACGCAGCTGGGTGTGTCGCGACCGCCGCCGCGAGGCTCGTGGCGATGGAGGCGCCGGCGCCAGCATGCGTCGCCTCCCTCAACGCCCGAAACTCGGTCACAGCCAGCGGAGCGACGGCGGCAGAGATGCGGGCCGCCGGCGACCTCACACGGCGTCGCACGCCGTAGAAATGACCCCGAGAGACGCCGCAAGGTGCGTCGCGACCGCCGCCGCGAGGCTCGTGGCGATGGAGGCGCCAGCGGCAGCATGCGCCGCCTCCCTCAACGCGCGACACTCGGTCGAGGCTGGCTCGAACTGCTCGAGGCCAGCTGCCTGACTTGTATTGACAGCGAGTGTGTCGCCACTCGCTCCTGATCACACGTTGAGGGGGGCGTGGACATGTTAGCCCTCGGCAGCTGCGATGCGCACACACCTGTCGCACGGATCCAGCGGTGGTGGCGATATGCTGCTCGGCGAGCCAAAGAGAGCGTGCCACCGAGAGCGTGCCACCGAGAGCGTGCCACCTAGAGCGGAGTGCGCCGCCCTCCGCAGCGGGAGTCGGTTGCGGGTGGTGCAGCGGCGCCGTGATAGAACAACAGGCGCCGGCTCGGCACGCTGAGTGCACACGCGACGCGTCGCGCATGCACGCACTGCTCGTGCAGCGCCAAACAGCGTCCGCCAGCGCAGAGAAAGGAGCCCGTGCCGACTCGTGCACGCCTGCGACAGCTCGAGCGGCTCAGCGCGAGTGCTGGCTCACATCCGGTCGGCTCACAGTGCTTGGGCAGCCAGGCTCACCGTCGGCGAGAGCAGCTGCGAGCGACACCACGTCGAGCCAAGGCGACGCTTTCTTCCGTGGCCGCCGCGGCTCGTTTCCGCCACGCGGTGGGGTGCGGCGGAGGCCGAGGCGTGCGCCAGCCGCGCTCGAGATCAGCAGGCGGCCTGGGAGGGCGCTCACACGCCGCGACGACCTCGGCGAAGCGAGGCGTCGCGCCAGGTCATTCACGGATATACAGAAACCGAGAACATGGCCCCGAATGCCGTGCTTTCTACGTTAGTCTGCGGGAGCTCCACAAACCAGGCCGTGTTGGTTCGACGTCCGGGCCGGACGCGCGAATGGCAGGACCAGGACGGCATGGCGGGCGCTGTCGGTGGACGAAAACGCGTCCGACCGGCGAAAAACTGTTTGGCGGCGGGTGTGGACCGAATGGCAGTACCGCCCCTAGACGGACACTGCCGACGAGGGAAGCAACGCGGAGGGGGGCAGGGGGGCGAGAGCAGTACCATTGGACACATTGGAGCAGCGGGCGGCGGCCAGGACTCGGAGAGCAGAGGGAAGATGATAGCGACGCCGACTGTGGACCTGCTACACCAACGGCTACATACAGCCCCAGCCAGCCCCGTCAGCCACCCCTCGCCCGCCACCGACCCTGAAGCCGCACCCCCGTCGCTAACCCTCGCCGTGCCCCTCGAGTTCGAGCGATATGGTCCGATTACGTACCGAGCGAGCAGGCGAGGGAGATCGGAGACGATTGGGGAGCGCGATGCGCCTTCCATGTTGACCCCCCCCCCCACGACCCCTCTCCCCGCCCCGCCTGGGTTGGAAGGAGATGGGGAAGATGGAACAGCCGGTGGGAGAAGCGGAACAAAACGCGTATGGGAGGTTGAAAGAAAGAAAGAAAGAAAGCAGTCAACCCAAGGGAGGGATGGGAGGACGGCACGCCGCCACCACACAGGGATTTTAAGGAGAGGAGTGTGGTGCTAGGTTGAAGTCGTGCACCACGCTGCCCGGCGTTTCTCACTTTCCGGGACAGCCCCGCCCTTGTGAGGCAGGCAGTGGCGGCTACCCCGTACGCACTGCTCGCCACCCACGACTATCTTACCACCAACCCTCGCCACCGACCCCGGGGCGTGGGCGGTCCCTCACCTGTGTGTGTCAAGACGGACGCGTGAGAGAGCGGGGGATGGGAGGGGCGGCGCACCTGCTCGAAGCTGCTCGTCGTCGCCGCGCCGTCAGCCGCGCCCGCGCCCGCGCCCAGAGGCGGTGGCGGTGGAGCGGCGGCGGTGGAGCGGCGGCGGTGGAGCATCATAACAACTCTCTCTCGCAGCAGATCCCTTCTCGTCTCAGAGTTTGACCGTTTGTACTATTAGCTTACTGGGACAAAAGGGAGAGGGGGGTTGTGTTCTCTAGGCCCCTAGGGGCCCTACGCGCGGCGTGAGAGCTCGGAAGCGAGCTTTGCACGGCGATCGAGTGTGTGACCGTTTGATTTTATTTTTTATGTTATTCTCGCTCGTGCGTCCTTGTACCTTGAAGTTCTGCCGACCTCCTTTCTCCTCCTGCTCTCCTATCCCACGTGGCTGTGTGTGTTTGGGTTTCTATGTTTGCGATTCGGAGCACTTGGATTTTGGATGTTCACGACTCTTTGTTTATTTATTTCTCGCAGCAGACACAGACTCGACACAGGTGCGGACTGGGGGAGAGATTTTGAAAACCAACAAGAAATCACGACTCTCACAGTGATTTGGGCTCGGCAGCTTGTCAGCCCTCAGGCTCAGCCGAAGCTGGGTGGGGCCGCAGGCGCGTGCTGTGGCACTAACACAGGCAAACCACCGGCCGGAGCCGCCTAAGCGACTCCGGTAAGAACGGCAATGCACTTAGCTTCGTGCACAATGCCGCTCTCCTCGCACGCTGGCTCGTTCATTCACCGGTGCGGCGAAGTCATGAAAAAAGAAAAGCGTGCGAACGACCACAGTCCACTTCGCTGGGCATGCTTGTCGAGGACATCATCGACCTCGGCCTCGTCTCGCACTTCCTCGGCGCCGATCCTGGCGCCGAGGACGTGGTCTCCGCCGCCAGCCACGACGGCGCCTGCACCGCCTTTGCGAGCGGCGAGGTGGTCGTCCTTATGCGGCGCGAGGCGCCGACCTCGCCGACTCTCCTGCGTGCCCCTGGCGAGCACGCGAGCGCGGTGGTCTGCCTGACCGTGCCTGCCGCCGCCGCCGTCGTGGCCGTGGTCGGCTACCGCAGCGGCGCTCTCGCTGTGTGGTCGAGCGACGGCTCGCGGCTGCTCCGGCTGCACCTGCACAACTCGCCGCTCGTGCAGCTGGCGGCGCAGACGCTCGGCGGCTGCGACGCCGACGGCGGCACGCTGCTCTGCCTCTGGGCGGGCGGCGCGCTGTGCCACGTCTGCGCCGCGACGCTCGGCGAGGCTCTCACGAGCCGACTCGCAAGCGGCGGGGAGGGGCGGGGGGGCAGGGTGGCGACCGAGCGGCTGGCCGCGTGCTTCCGCCTGCTCAGCGTCGGGGAGCGGCCGTCGGGCGGCGGCTGGGTCGGCGTGGCGAGCGGCGGGCAGCTCCCCTCTCCGCCCCTCGAGGTTGACGCCGCGCTCAAGGGCGGCCGCGGCGAGGCGGAGAGAGGGAGGGAGCCGCCCTCGCTCGGGCTCACGCTAACGGACGGCGCCTCTCTGCAACTCCACCTCGTCACCGTCGCCACAGCAGAGGCGCCGCCGCCGGCCGCCGCCGACGCGGACGCCGCCGCTGCCGCCACGAAGGTGCAGGCCGCCGCCACGGAGGCGACGTCTGGCCGTGTCGCCGCGGTTGCGCTCGGCTCTTCTCTAGGCTTTGGCGGCCTCTGGGCGAAGGAGGAGCACTCTCGGAGCCTCCAGGAACCTTCTAGGAAGCCTTCTAGGCTCGGGCGCCCTCTCCCTCTTCTCCTCCCTCGTCACCGAGTCCATCGAGCCAAAGTCGCCCGCCCTCGCCTCCTCCCTCGAGGCGAGCCGGGAGATGCGAGCCGGGAGCTGCGCACCGCCGATAGCCGTCGGTGGCAAGCCGATAGCAGCGGACACCACGACCCAATAGCCGGTCGGTGGCGGGCCCTCCTAACGCCCCCCCCCCCCCCCCCCCCGGGCCCTTCCTTCCCTCCCCGAGGCGACCGCCGGGCGTGTCGCCGCCGTCGGCTCGACCGTCGCGTCCCGTCTCGCTGCCCCTCCCTCCGGCGCGCCAGAGACGGCGGACGAGCGGCGGCGGGGAGGGTGGAGCGGCGGGGAGGGTGGCGGCTCAAGGGATCACGGTGTGCTTAGGCGGCGGCCCTCTGGTCCGACGGCGGCCTTCCAGGAACCTTCTAGGAACCTTCTAGGAGCCTTCTAGGCGGCGGTCCGCACCTGGTCCGACGGCGGCCGCGTCTTCGAGGCGGTCTGGCCCGACCCGCGCAAGAGGTTCGTTCCTAGCAGGTTCCTAGGGCTCCTAGCAGGCTCCTAGAAGGTTCCTAGAAGTTCCTAGAAGGTTCCTATCTGGCCCGACCAAGAGGTGCGTCGCTGCGAGCGACTCGCTCGACCGTCTAGAAAGCGTCAGGAACCGTCGGGGAACCGTCTAGGAACGTGGGGGAACCTTCTAGGTACGTCGCTGCGAGCGACTCGCTCGGCCGCGTGCTGCTGCTCGAGCGGGCCACGCTGGTGCAGCTCCGCGTGTGGAAGGGGTACCGGTCCGTGCAGTGCGGATGGCTCGACGCGCTCGCGCCGGGCGGCGGGCTAAGCGCCGTCCTCGCCATCCACGCGCCGCGCCGTGAGTTGGTAGAGATGTGGGCTGTGCCGGCGGGCGTCCGGCTGCGCGCGATCGCGACCGGCCCCGGCTGCCGGCTGCTTGCGCCGGCTCCGCCGCTGGCGCAGGCGGAGGAGGGAGGCGCTCCGCTCCGGTGCTACCTCCTGCAGCCGTCGGGCGCGCTGAGCCGCCTCGAGCCCACCGAGACTTGTGACACTTGAGTGGTCTTCAGATTTCACGCTGTGTGTGCTTTTCTCTATTGCTAAACTGTTACTCTCTTGAGTCAGTGACAGTGTGAGTCTCCGTGTGCATCTATACGTTCACTACACACTAGTCTCTATCGCGAGAGTTTTGCACAAGTCGGAGCTCGAGGACCACGATCGCAAAATTTACCGGTATAGGGGTAAAGGGTGTGGATGCTGGGTTCAACAATATCGGGGGACGCGACCCACCTCGCCGTCCCGCGCCTCGCCGCTATGACGGCGACACGGCCGCAGCTCGTGTGCGTGTGGCCGTCTTTGTCCGGAGTGAAAAGTCCAACGCGCTCGTCGGTGACGGTGTCCCCCGATTTCGCCGCGCTCGGCGAACCTCGACAGCGCTTTCGGTGGCATGCAGCTCTTTGCGACCCAGAAGCCTGGAGAGCAGCTCCTCTGCTGCTCACCACACTCTGCACAGCTGACACAGCCTACTGTGCGGCTGCCACAGCTGTGACAGCGATGGGCTCGCCCTCACTGGCCCTCAGTCACTTGTGCTGCGGCTTGTGTGAGCGACACTGCTCGGCGACTGCCGGCACACTGTGAGACCATGGGTGTGAGGTTAAACCACGCTACCAGCGCTTGGTCACATCGCGCAGCCCTGAGGTCATATCCTTTCTCCTCTGTTGATGGTAACACTTGTCTACTCGCTGGAGCCGAGCAGGAGGGCTTGGCGCACAACCCCTGTTCAACTCACCCTCCACACCCCGTAAAGAGCCGTGTGTACTCTACCGACACATCATTTGTGTTTGTAAAATATATGCAATATGGCGCACACTATATGAATTTTGCCGCGCACCACATTGTGTACGGAGAACGGTGTGCGCCCTCATTCGACCTCTTGTGAGTCGTCAGAGTACCTGAGTCCGAGACAGTCGCTACTCCAAGCCCTCCCCAAAGCCCTCGGGCGCCTCGTCGCTCAAGAGCTTCTCGAAGAGGGCGTCTGCCGCTGCCGCCTGCTCGGCGGTCGGAGGGACCGGCTCGCGGTCCGGCGGCGGCTCCCGCTCGAGGTTCGACGCCCATTCTTCCACCGGCTCTCCTGCTGTGCGGCGCCGCGCCCGTTCCCTGAAGGCTTCGACGCCCTCGCGCGTGACGGGCTGCGGCGGTGGCGGTGGCGGACTCGGCGGCTGCGACCTGCACGCCGTGCCGCGATCCGAAGTTGAGATCAGCCGAGGTCAGCCGAGGTCAGCCGAGATCAGGTGCCGCGTTCACTTTGCGTAAGCAGCGTTGATGATGTCGTCGCTCGGACAGTCCTCCTCATCGTCCTCGCTGGCGGCCAGCGTGGGCGTAGCAGACCTCGTGCGTTTGGCGCTGGCGGGCGAGAAAGGAAGGACCAGTGCATGCGTGCTGAGCACAAGCAGGATGGCAAAGAGGATTCGCATGGGATCACGGCCCGCGACAGCAGCGTGGATGCCCGGAAGAATACTCGACTACAGATGATGCGTCGAGGTTTTCTTCTTTTTTCACCGATCTTCAACTGAGCCCCCCCGGGGGACCACCGGTGCCTGCAGAGCGAGGGAAGAGGACACACGTGAACGAAACGGAGGCGCCTGTTCTTTTTTGGTGAGAATGCGCTGAAAAATAGAAAACATATCTTTCGCTCGTTCACCGCCAAAACGGGCGCCTTGCGCCGATGCGCAAAAAAAACGCCCGGGGACGGCATGGTTGCTGCCGTATTCACCGAGAGCTCCCTCTCCCTCGTGCAGCTCGAGCAGACGGTGCTGCGAGAGCTGGTGCGGCTCGCGGAGCGGAACGCCGCGCAGCCGCTCTCGCTTGCTGAGCTGCAGTCGGCGGCGCCGCTCCTCCGCCGCAAGCTGCGCCAGCACAGCGAGGCCGTGGAGGAGCTGTCGGAGCTCGCCCGTGCTCACGAGATCCCCGCGGACCAGGCGGAGGCCGGCGCCCGCGTCGCGCGCCATCAGGCGGAGGGCGGCCGGCTCGCAGACTCGCTGCGGGAGCTCGGCACGCGTGTACAGGCGCAGCGGCCGCAGCAGGAGGCAGCGGCCCGCGCCGAGCTGCTGATGGGCGGGCGGGGTGGCGGGGACGGCGCGCTCGACCAGGGCGGCACGGGCCGGCCAGAGGGGCTGGGGGACCGCGTCGCCGTCGCCTCGGCGCGCGACACGACGGAGACGCTGAGCCGGACGCAGAAGCTCATGGCGGAGGAGCTGCAGCGGTCGGACGCGACGCTGCGCTCACTCAACACGCAGAGCAGATCGATGCAGGACACGCTGCAGGAGCACCGCGCCATCGTCGGCTCGCTCAACGCCTCGCGCCGCGCACTCGCCCGTCTCAAGCGGCGCGACTTCACCGACCGCATCCTGCTGGCAGCCGGCCTCTTCTTCTACTGCCTCGTCGTGCTCTACATTGTAAAGCGGCGGCTAGGCTTCGCAGGATGGCGCCTCTTCTCGCTCTTCGGGGCTCCTCCCGGCCCCGACTTGCACGCGGACACGGCTCACGCCGCCGACGACGCCTGCCAAGTACCCGAGGGTCTGGACCGAGTCGGTGCCTGCATCAGCGAGTAAAGACTTTAGTGCTCTATTCTTCGTCCCTGAAGGCGACACACTAGGGTGCCCACAGGACCCAAAAGTAAATAGCTTTGCGCCTCAAAAGTGGGATGCACGAGGCAAATCTGATGCGAACGTCTTGAGAGTTGAGTGATGTTGGAGTGTTCCAATAGGACTTAGGAGCGAGGCCTCACTTCCGTTGCGGGGGACCGAGTGAATAGGAACCGAGGGTTCCCCATTGTGAGCCGCTCCAGAGCGCGAGCGTGACACTGCACTTGCCAGTGTTGGCGCCGAGCGCCCGCGGCACAGACCTTGTGCAGGCCGACCCTCATTGCGTTGCCGTTGGGCACGCCGGTCCGGACACCGATGGCGCTCGGTGTGGTAGCTGGTAGGAGCAAGCAAGAGCCAAGACACACCCACCCCCCATCGGCGCGCTTCCGAGCTTTGAACGGCCGCCAGGAGCACCAAGAGGACTCCTCATGGCTGTGTCCAAGTGGGCTTCGACCGGCCTCGGCTGGGGGGGCGGGTTGTCCCGGTTGCGGACGCGTTGCAGCCCCCTGGGCGCGACTCAGCACCCCAAAACTGCCCCCCGGCGGCATACAGCACTGCCAGCCAGCCTCTTCCTCCTCCTCAAGGGCTGTACTATGGCCATCTTACGCCGCCTCCTACTGGCAGCCGGGAGGGCGCGCGCCGGGCGCGCCTCGGCGCGCGCAGGGCTCGCAAAGTTCGAGCGAGTACTGCCGCCTGGCCCCTGGCCGCCTCAAGGCTGCCGGGCGGCAGTACTCGCCTCGCAAGGCCCGCGCACCGGCTGCTCTGGCTGCTGCGCCGGCGGCCGCTGCGCTGGCCGCTGCTGCGCTGGCTGGCGAGAAACCCCCTCTCTCCCCCTAGGTGCTGCACTGGACGTCCATAGAAGGCGCGCGCGGCAGAAGGCGGAGTGTGTGTGCCTGTCCGCGATTTGGGAGGGCACTTGTGACGAGGCATGGTTAGGCGAGTGGCAGTCGCTGGTGCGGACCTGCCAAGTCGTGTGTGCTCCTTTTTGCTTGCTAAGACTGGAACACTTTTTCTCTCTCTATCCTCTCTCCAAGTCAATGCGAAAAAATGCGGAAGTGGCGGCTAGTTCACCCTTTTGTCGACGAGGAGGCCGATGAGCTCGTCTATCGAGCGCTGGAGCGCCTGCTGCTGGGAGGTTAGCGCATTCGTTGCAACCTCGAGCATCTGTAGCCGCTGTTCTGTGTCTGTGGTTGCCTGCGCAGAAGAGCCCGGTTGCGTAGACCTGGCCTCGCCGGTGGACTTAGGCCCTAGCGACTGGTCTTTGCACACGCTCGGGTATGTGCTGAGGGTATTCTCCTCAACCTCGGGAAACATCGCTGCGGCAAACTCGCGGAACTTGATATGTCCGCTCTCGTCCGTGTCTAGCGTCCGCCACATGGAGCGCAGCCTGTGGCCAGACAGGCGGAGGCCCAGCTTCTGCGTGACGGCGTGCTTGAACTCCTCGTACGAGCACGCCCCGCTGCCGTTCTCGTCAAACTTCGCAAAGGCCTTGACCACGTCAACAGGCGACCCGCCATTGTTGAGCAGGCTAGCCTTAGTCTTCTGCGAGATTAGCGTCAGCGTGCGCATCTCCCACGCGCGCGAGAAGTTGTTACCCACAATCGCGATTGGCATCGCTATGATTGTCACGCCGACGATCATGATAAAGCCCATCACGAGCTTGCCGGCGGTGCTCTGCGGGCTGTAGTCGCCGTACCCGACGGTGGTCATCGTGACCAGCACCATCCACCATGACGACCCGACGTCTTGCACGCGCGAGCCGTTCTCGTAGTCGTACGGGTCGTACTCGAAGGCGAACAGGATGGTCCCGAAAAAGGTCACGAGCATGAAGAGGAGGTACGAAGGAATGATGAGCGCGGTGAGGGACGAGCGGAGAGTCTGCATGAGGATCTTGGTCCCCACCATGAAGCGCGTCGTCCTAAGCAGCCGCAGCGACGAGAATGCCGCGTTCAGGCTAATCAGAGTCCCGCCGCCTTTGTCATAGTACTTGTATTTGTGCAGGTACCTGCGGCGGCGTCGCGACCGCCCCGTCGGGCAGTGAGGGGCGGAGGGCGCGGAGATAGCGCAAGGAGGCGCGCATTTCTGCGGCAGAGAGGTGGTAGACGTTGGCGGTCTCGATGCACCCGATGCGGAGCAGCAGCGGGATGAGGGCGAGCGCGTCGACCCACAGCATCGGGTCGAACATCATCCCGCGCCAGCCCTTTGCGGTGTAGGCCGCCATGCGGACGATGAACTCGACGGTGAACGCGCCACCCAGGAAGCACTCCCACGCGAACCAACTGCCTTGTACCGATCTGCCTTCAATATAGGCCGCGAACGCAGCACTATCACTGCCATACTCGATGAGGGCGTCCTTTAGAATGGCGGAGTAGCGCGCCGACGCCATGCAAAACGTCACGACCGACGTAAAAGAGAGCGCGAGAAGCGTCCAGGAATATATGTACGCTGGCAGGCTCGAGATGGGGTCAGCGAGGAAGCGATAGACAGCGTCCCTAAAATTGAGTTTCCCCGCGACCCTCCGCCGCAGGTAGTAGCTCTCGACAGGAAAGTTGCTGAGTAGCTGGATGGCTGGCGGCAGATACTGGTTGATGAAGGCGCCCATCGGAGGTCTCATCTCATCCGACTCATCAAAGGCTGACGCCTCCCCCATCACATGCGTTGCGCGCCAACCAGCAATAGAGCGGTGGCCGGTCGGGGTGGGGAGGGACGCACGGAGACGAATTGTTGGGATCGGCCGCCGGGATCCTATATGACAAACCCTCCCTTTCACAGCGCCATCAAGGAAACAGGCGGGGGAGAGGGGGGGGGGGGTGTCTCTGCAACCGATTTTCGAAAGGATAAGATATTTTGCCTGACCCTCTCCCTGACTGTTGACAACAACATACCTAAACACAAAATGAGAAAATAAATGAAGAATTTTATCAGCCTTGCAGACCGTTATGCCAGGCATAACGGGAACAGGACGAAAATCGATTTCTTCTGCGGACGTTACAACAACTCAACCGGGTTTGCGGCCTTGCCCCCGAGCGCGCACCGCTAGCCTCCGCTGCTGGTGTGCCTCTCACGTCTGGGGAGATGCGCAACTCGCCACTAGCCTGCGCTCACGGGTCGCTCACACCCAAGCGTTCTCTGTCCTCAGGCACAGCATATCCACCGCCAGACCAGCGCGCTGCCATGTCGTTGGAACAGAAGCTGATCCAGGCGGCTATCAAGAAGCTGCAGCCCAAGATGGTGCCCATCCTTGCCAAGGTGGGGCTGGAATGGGAGGACTTCAAGCCGCTGCTCGACGAGATGGACACGGTGAAGAAGATCACCGCCATCGCCTCCGACCCGAATGCCGCGATCAAGGCGTTCGTGCCCAAGAGCATAGTCATGGGCATCAAGCTGGCGCTGCACGCGGGCAAGCGGAAGTTGGAGCCGATCGTGTACAATAAGGGACTTGATTGGACCGACGTGATCAGCAGCGTGCGGCTGGTCTCCAACACGCTCCAGAACCCGGATGAGATCAAGGCGGCGCTGATGGACTTTCAGGGCTTCATCACCAATCTCTCTGCCGTCTCGGTGCCCATCGCGATCAAGCTGGCGCTGCACGCGAAGAAGGGCGACCTGGAGGCGAAGATCATCGAGAAGGGCCTCACCTGGAAGGACCTGCGCGCGGCGATGCAGCTCGTGTGCGGCGAAGGCGGCAAGTTCCACCCTCCGCGGATCGAGATGCCGCAAAACCCAGACAAGGACCCAGAGATCGCCAAGCAGCAGGCTGAGGCGGCGAAGCAGCTGGTCTCGCAGTCCAAGGAATTTTTGTCCACCTTCAAGGACGCCATCACCGACTTTGGCAAGTTCGTGGACGGTCTCGCGGCGGACTACACCTTCATCGCCGTCAAGATGGAGTTGCACAAGATCAAGCCAGACGTCGAGGCGGACGTCGAGAAGTGCGGCCTGGAGTGGGAGGACATCTTGCTGATGGCGCCGGAGATGGAGAGCGCAGAGGAGGTGACCGAGGCCAAGGCGGACTTTGGGGCCTTCTTGCTCAAGTTCGCCGAGAGCTTCACGCCGATCGCGTGCAAGATGGCGATCAGCAAGGTCGCCGACAAGGTCCGGCCGACGGCGGAGGAGAAGGGCTTCGAGTGGAAAAACGTCGTTGCGGCCTCCGCGTTTCTCGACAGCGCCAGCGAGGTCGAGGCTGCGGCGGACGACCCGGCTGCGTACCTCGAGAAGCTGGACAAGCCGCTCGCGATCGTTGCGCTCAAGCCGCTGGTGGACGAAAAGGGCTGGGACTGGTTCAAGGCGGCGGAGGCGCTGAAGGAGTTCGACCTTGAGAGGCTCAAGGCGGCGGCCAAGGAGCCAGAGGAGGTCAAGGAGGATGGGGAGCCTGCGGAGGGCGAGGAGCCGACGGTTAGCGATAGGGACGCCCTGCTGATGGAGCTTGAGAAGGCGATGAAGAAGAAGAAGAAGAAGAAGAAGGTCAAGGGCGCAAAGGCGCCCAAAGAGAAGAAGGTCAAGCCGGCAAAGGCGCAAAAGGCCACAAACGGCGAGAGCGGTGGCGGCGGCGGCGGCGGCGGCGGTGCATGCGGATGCTTTGGCTCCAAAAAGACGGCTCCGGAGGCTTAGACGTACAGGCGGGCCTGTATCCCTCGGAGGAGACCTTCACCTCCGCTCTTAGCTCTATTGGCCCTCGTACGGGCGCCGCAGGCGGGTCAGACCAGGTTCACGTAACGTGCGCATGATGGACGGGCCATTAACGCCCCTCTCCCCTTTAATTCAATGTTATGGTGTCTGCCGTTTGTGCAGTCTCGAGACACGAGTCTGGCAAGGATGCCTGTGCCGTGTCTCTCTTGTGTGGGGGTCGCGACATGCGTGTGAACAAATAGCAACAGATACGAACACCTCACAGGTGGAGATGGGTGATAAGGAGCCCCCCCCCCCCCCCCCCCCCCCCCCTTCCCTTGAAGTCCGCGCACGCGGGCGGGGCGACGGCGACTCGGCGACGCGTGCACGGCGCGCCGGCCGCCGGGCCGGCGCGAACGCCGAACGAAAGTCGAAACGTCGAAAGCGATCTTGTGATATGTGTGCAGTGTGCGCTGGACATTTTCGAGAAATATTTTCTCTAGCGTGCGCGGTTCCCCTCGATCTGCGTTCTCGCGGGCGGCTAGACCCCTCCTGAGACGCCATCGCTTCGCGGTCGCGGTCCGCAGGGGCGATCATGTGTGTGGTTGCCGTTGCGCCGAGGCGGCGTCGCGTACTACACTCCGCGCCAGCCTACTCGTCGAAATAGACGTCCTCGTCCTCGTCGTCTTCGTCGTCCTCGTCGTCCTCGTCGTCCCCGTCTGTGCGCTGCGGCGCACACGCCACGGGGGCAGCTCCCTCCGCCGCCGCCGCCGCCGATCGGCGCCGCTTGGCTGGCGCGCGGCCGGCCCGGAAAGCGGCTGTCGCCCGGCCTTTGAGCTGCTTGGCCTTGACCTTCTGGGCGTAGTCTCCGATCTGGGGCGAGCCGGGGCGGTGAGGGGGCGGGTGGGGCGGCGGGGTGGGGCGGGAGCGGCGAGGCGCCTGGGAGCGGCTCGTCGCGCTGATGGACCGCAACACGCCTCCCTCGCCGCCGTCGCTCTCCTCGCCCTCGTCGGCGGCGGACGCGCCGCTGCGCCACGGCGAGGCTTGCAGCAAGTCGGGGTGGAGCCCGCTCGGCGGCGGCGGCACCCCTGGCGCGGGCGAGGAGCGCCTCCGCCTCTGCCGCCCTGGCGTCGGGTGCTGCCGGTAGAACTCGGCGGTGCACTCTTGCACGCTCCGGCCGACGCGGCGCGCGACTTGTTCCCAAAAGTCGACCGCCTCGGGGGAGATCTCGAAGTGGGCCTCGCGCAGCTGCTGCAGCTCCCCGCCCGACCACGCCTGCGGGACATGTCTCGGGCAGGTCAAGGACGGGTCCTGGAAGTGTCCACCTCCCCGCCCGGCCCTCGCCCCGGCCCTCGCCTCGGACCCGTTCCAGCCAGCAGGCGCCGCCGCCTCGCCGCAGCGCCCTCCGGCGCCCATCTCCGTGCCGCCGCTCGAGGCCTCGAGCTCCCGCGGGCGGAAGGAGAGGAGCTGCCCCCCGAGCCGCAGCTTGACCCACCCGTGCGCCACCTCGGCCACCTCGGCCACCTGCCCGCGCTGCTGCTCGCGCAGCACGCGCACGAGGCAGCCGACGGCGAAGCTCTTCCTGCGACGGGCGGGCCGGCGGGGAGAGGGTGCGATGGCGGGAGGGCGGGGGCGTGAGGGTGGGCGTGAGGGTGGAGGTGGGAAAGGTGGGGGGGGGGAGGCGCCGCTGCGGCACCTTGCTGCAGCACGGGGCGGCGCCGGTGCCGGTGACAGCTCCGCCTCTGGAGACGCTGCCTGCGCTGCCTGCGCTGCCTGCGCTGCCTGCGCTGCCTGCGCTGCCTGCGCTGCCCGCCTCCGCTTGGGTGGCGGGGCGGGCGACGCCGTGGGGCCGGGGCAGAAGCGGCTGACGCCGACTCGCTTGCGTGCAGGGCGCTCCCTCGCCGCCTGCGGCCGCGCCCTCCCTGCCTGCGCCTTAGCTTGGGAGGACGCCTGCGCAACCTCCGCCCCTGCCACCTCTGCCGCCCCGGCTTCGCCCCCCTCTCCGTCACCGCCTCCCTCCGCCGCCGCCACCACCTCCACTGCCGCCGGCTCCGGCGCCCGCTCGTCCGCCGGCTCAGAGCCCGCCTCTGCCGCCCTCGTCTCTGCCGCCGCCGCGTCGGCCGCCCGCCGTCGCTCCTCCTCCAGCTTCCCGGACGGCGCCGCCGCCTCCGGTACCTCGGCACGTCCCGCCGCCTGCGCCGCCTCCCCTCTCGCCGCCGCAGCCACGGCCGCCGAACGCGCATCCGCTGGTGTGCGAGGCGGAGGCTGCGGTGGCACGGGCGCCGGCGCGGCTGCAGCCGACCCGTCCTCGCCCGGCAGTGTGTAGGCGGACTGCCAGCAGGCAGGGAAGCCGTCGGAGAAGGCGTCCACCATCTGTGGCGAAAAGCCGGCCGCGAGGCACGGCTCCGTCCACATCGGACCGCTCAGGACGTAGGTCGATCCGCTCGCGGTGCGCAGCGTCCGAGCGTCGACACGCAGCCGGATCGCAGACGAGTGCCACGGCTTGCCGTCCACTGCGGTGTCGCCCGGCTGGTCCGCGCGCCAGCCCTCGACACCGACAAGCGCTTCGCCGGCGCCGCTCTTCCCCAGGTACTTCAAGTACCACCGCGTGAGGACTGCAGTCGAGCCGAGCGAGGAGCGCGACGCCGCCACCGAGCCGCCGCGCGAGCAGCGCTCCACCACCGCCTCCCTCGGCGCCGCCTTTGCCGCCGTCGCCTTCACCTCCTCTGTCGCCTGGTGGACCGCCCTGTCTGCCAGCGGCCGCGGGGCTTGATCCAGCATTTTGAGTGATGCTATTCCCGCGAGTTTCTTCTTTCTCTGCCAGTCCGCGTACGCCAGTCTGCGCCCTTGTCGTGCCAGTGTGCTGTGAGAGAGGCTTGTATTTTAAGATTCTTCTTTCTCTGGGCCGGTTTGCCTCTGCGTTCGAGGAGAGGTTTCCCAAAAAAACAAGTTTAATAAGAACGGAGCCCCGATTCCTTCGTCCCTCACCCTCCCCCGCTCGGTACTCCAAAGAGAGAGAGAGGCCCAACACCCCTGCGCAGGCTCCGTGCCATGGCGTAAGTATAAAGGACGCCGAGAACGGAGCCAGTGAGCCACAAACCTCAAACGACCCACAAAACCCACTAACCAGTCAACGAAAATCAACCAACACAAGCATATCCGCAGGCGGTGCCGGCAGCCTCTGAGACATTCAGCCAGGCCGCAGGCGCACGAGGACGTCATGAGCAGCATAAAAGACCGGCAACTCCCCGTCCTCAGTCCAAAGATGAGAGCTCTCCAAAAAGCGCTTGAGCACGGGGACACCGGGGGCGCGATTCCCTCTGCCTGGTACTCGAAGTCTGGTAGGAGCGCCCAGGGACACTTCGCGCTGAGCCGCCTACCCGAAGCTAGCTGTGCCACCGAAGTGCCTGGATGACAAAGAAAGGACTGGATTGCTCGTGGGGGTACGGCATCGAGACCTACTGCAGCAAGAGCGACCTGTGGACTGCCGGCAGCGTCTGCCAACTGGCTTGTTTTGAGGCTGGTTTCGGCTACCCTGGCGATGCCTGCGCTTCCTCGCCGCTGGAACCCTCCCCGGAGCCTGGACAGAATGAGTGGTGAATTGCCCGGACACGAACGATAGGGTAGAGCGACAGCAGCAACGACGACAACCATGCACAGTATGATGTGCAACGCGCAGAACGCGACCACGAGTCCTTCCTCTTACTTTGGCTGCACGCATCGCGTCTCCACATGCATCGCCGCGTCACCCTGCCTGCCCCACCACCCCTCTCTGGGCCCGCTCACGCCCACGGCTGTCAAAAGCCATCGCTCCCTACAACCCTTGAAACAGAGATGGAATGGGATTTGCCTCTGCCTTTCTCGTGTCTTGGGGACATGCTGGAAAGCGTGTACTTCTCTGCGGCGCGCCGCGGCGCTCACAGGTGTTAGGGGACGAGACGTGCATACTAACAGCGTAATGATTAAACATGATCCTCTTGGGGCTTTTTAAAAAGTGGGAGCGATAGCAAAGCAGAACAGTCAGTATTACACCCAGTAAGGTACACCCCGAGAGATGGACTCAGGCACTCCGCTAACCTCTAATGACCCGACTCTGTGTGGCGCGACAGTCCACCCCTCTGGCCATCCTCTCTGGCCATCCCCTCTGGCCACCCCCTCTGGCCATCCCTCCCCCCCCTCCCTTCAGCGCACTCGTGCTGCGCGCAAGCTCCAGCCCCAGCCCAAGCGGCCCAGCCCCGGCCCCGGCCCCGGCCCCGGCCGGCCAACGCGGAGGAGAAACAGGCCGAGCGGCATGGGCAAGGGCAAGAGCAAGGGCAAGAGCAAGAGAAAGGACAAGGACAAGGGTACGAGTACGATTTGAATCTGGCGAAGTTCGAACGGCGCTCGTCGGCGGGGGCCGTCGAGCGTCGTGCGCAACAATCATTCCATGACGGCTTCTCGAGGATGTGGGTCTTCTCAAGGCGATCGGACTCGCCTACCACGGCAATCTGGTCGAGCGCGCGCATAGACTCCATGTGTACAATGAGCAGGAATGGCTCGAGGGTGACCTCGGCTGGAGGGACGTCATCCTCACCAACAATACCATTGTTAAGGCAGCGAGCCCGCCCAGCCCATGCACGTGGTCGTCCCTCCGGGCCTTCCCAATATCACGTGCGCAAACACCACCTTCCGCCTCGCGAACGGCACGACGACAAGCGCCTCGGGCTGCTGATTGGCGATCCAGCGCGGGAAAGAGGCCACGCGCGCGTCTCCTGCGCCCCCCGACTGGCTCTGCGGCAGAGCGGCAGAGCGCGGGATAGGGCAGTGCAGGGTCCGAGCAGGGACCATTGCAAAGGCGGCAAAGAAGAAGGCAGAGAAAGCACAGGCTGCCGCTGCTGGGGAGACCTCGCCATCTCGCCAAGGGAAGTGGACACCGAGCGAAACGCGTCGAGCACCACCATCGACAGCAGACCCTTCTGGCCGATCTTGCCGATCAGCCGCCGCAGCGGCGCGAGGTCGAACGCGCCCTCCTTCGGTTCGACGTCCGCCCAGCTCGCCGAGATCATCACGTGACTCACGCCCGCGCCACGGGCCTTTATTTTCGTTGAGTATCCTTCGCCGCAGTGCCGCCCGCGCCGCGCAAGCCGCAAGAGACGCCACACAGAGCACACTCACAGGGTGAAGACTGAAGTGTGTGTGTGCTCCTCCCGGCGGGGATGGCCTCCGCTCCCGCGCGCTGCCTTGTGCCTTGTAAAATTCTTTTTTTTCTTCTTTTTGGCCCAGTCCTGTGCCCAGTGTTGTGCGAGGGAGTTGTTGTAAAATTCTTTTTGGCCGCCGGGTTCTAACTACTCTGGTCGGCGGAGGTGTGAATTCCACAATGCTTACACACACAATGGGCGCGAGTCTTACACACACGTTTTAACAGGTTCAAGACTGACTTTGGATCCAGCTGATACGAGCCACGCGCTGAGCGCGTCGGGATTCGCGTCAGGGTCGAGCCCCCAAGGCTTCATCTGGTCCTTCCACAGCGTCACGTAGGTGAGCATCGGCTGCGCCGGACGGGAGACCGCGCTCGCGGCGAGCAGCAGGCCGCAGAGGGCACGGGCCCTGGCCATTCGGACCAGTATTGGAAACGTCACGCACGCGTGACGTCACAGCCCCCCCCCCCCCCCCCCCGGCGGCAATTCCCGGCAGCCCTCGATGAGTCACAAAAGCAATGTAATGGAGCAGCGCACAACACTGATAGTGACCGGGCCTAAAAACCATATGGGAAACAAGAAGATGGACTCCTTCTTCTTGCTGCATGGACTACGTGCGTGACGGCTACGACCTTCTCGCGGCGCAGTGCCGCGAGCACGTCCCGGCCGCCAGCGTCCCGGTTGAGTCACCTTTTGCGACGCCCACTACCGCGGCGACGCGCCACGACCGTTCCGGTAC